TAGGAAGAGGGGAAAGCTGAGATTCTATAAGCTCTCTCACAGAAGTGGCAGTTTATAGCATATGGTCCAGAAAGTTCCATTTTTTAAATAAGCTGGATGGAACCACTCAGCAAAGTATATATAGTGACGCAAACTGGTGTGGAGAGAAATTGGGTGTGTGGGTGAAAGTAAGGACAGTTTTATGATATGATTCTCCAGAACAGAAGGTGACACGAGTAGTTTCAAAAGAATTGAGAAACAGTTCATTTCTTAGATCGGTGTTTCTCAACGTGGGGGTTTGTGACCCCGAAAGGGCAAAGTGTTTTCTCGAGAATCACTTTTTTGTGTGTTGTCACCTTTGTTAAATAATTTCTTCCTTGACCTTTCAGAGCAGGATATTAAAGTTAGTGTGTATGTGTATGTATGAGAAACAGGCCTCTATTTTCTGAGACGGGATGATCCAGACTATTTTTTCCAAAAAGAAAGAAAGAAACGAAAAGATATAATTGCTGCCACTTCTGCAAGAAAAGGGATTTTAACTAAGGCGATCCTAAAGAAGGGGAGGAAATGGAAAAAGAAGAAACACAGACACACACACACAACCTTCAAGAGAGAAAAAAGAAACCTTCTTCTCCAGCAAGTGTGAGGAAAACTTCATACTGGTTTCTGCATGGGATCATCTCTACCAAAAGAGCTTGCCCCTTCCTTAACCAGTGTCCTTCCAACCCTGGCTCATCTTTGAAGTCCTTTGTCTTCTTTCCTTCCTACGTTTAACCTCCCTTACCCTGTTCCCTCCCCACTTTTGAAGCAGTGGTGGTGACAGAGTCCATGGAAGGAACAGTAGGAGGGCGAGCAACAGCATCATTGACGGTGCCGCCATTTTAGGGAACAACAACCTATTTGCGCAAATGTGGCGGGGGCCGCAGGCTACTTGGCTATTATAAAAGGGGGGTCACAACACGAAAAAGGTTGTCTTTGATTAATCCCTGCATGGCTCGAAGGATAGCTCAGGGGTTTAGGTATCTGTTTCAGAGCCAAAGGTTGGGAATTCAGTTCCCAATGTGCCTCCTGTGAGTAGAGCCAACCTGTGTGGCCTTGGGCAAGCTGTACAGTCACAGGATGACCCCTCCCCCCCAAAAAAGGGAATAGTAAACCACTTCTGAGGGTTCTCTACCTGGAAATCCCTGAAAAGGTTGCCATATATCAGAATTGACTTGACAGCACATCATCATCATCATCATCATCATCATCATCATCATCATCATCATCATCATCATCATCATCATCATCATCATCATCATCATCATCATTAT